TTTTCTAACCGGAGGACTTCCTTTAGTATTTCTTGTAATTTTGGTTTGGTTTTTGCAGATTGCCTAAACTTCTGTTTGTCTGGAAATGCCCTAATTTTGCCATCATATTTGAGAGACAGTTTTACCAGATACATAATTCTTGGTTGGCAGTCTTTTCTTTCAGGGCTTTTTATATGTCATCCCATTGCCTTCTTGCCTGCATGGTTTCTGCTGAGTAGTCTGAGCTTATTCTTATTGACTCTTCTTTGTAGGTGACTTTTTGTTTATCCATAGCCGCTCTTAAAATTCTTTCTGTGTCTTCGGTTTTAGCAAGTTTGATTGTAATATGTCTTGGTGACTTTCTTTTGTGATGTACCTTATGTGAGGTTCGATGAGCTTCTTGGATAGACATCTTCCCATCTTTCACGATATCAGGGAAGTTTTCTGCCAACAAATCTTCAACAATTCTCCCTGTATTTTCTGTTATCCTGCCCCCAACCCCCCGTTCTGGTACTCTAGTCACTCATAGGTTATTCCTCTGGATAGAATCCCACATAATTCTTGGGGTTTCTTCATTTTTTAAAAATTCTTTTATCTGTTTTTTCCTCAAATAAGTTGGTGTCAAGTGCTTTATCTTCAGTCTCACTAATTCTGAGTTTCATTGCCTCAGTTTTGCTCCTGTGACTTTCTATTGAGTTGTCTAATTCTGAAATTTAATTGTTAATCTTCTGAATTTCTGATTACTGTCTCTCTATGGATTCTTGCAGCCTCTTCAATTTGTCATTATGCTGTTCTCTAATCTTCTTAAGTTTCTCTATTGCTAGGTCTACATTTTGCATGATCTCCTTCCTGATCTCTTGAAGAGTTCTGTATGTTAATATTTTGTATTCTGTCTCTGGTAATTCCAAGAAATTATCTTACTCTGGAAGATTCCTTGATTCTTTATTTTGAGAGCTTCCTGAAGCCTTCATGATCTGCATCCTTACTTGATTTGTTATTGACTGTTATCCCTGAGCCATCAATAATTTATTATATGTATTTATTTTATGCTTGCTTACTGTGTCCTAGCTTCTTGTTTTGTTTTGTTTTGATATGCAAAAATAGGCTACTCATGTGAGCTAGTCCAATCACTGGTGCCCCTGAAGCTCCAATATCCTGCCAGTAAGTGGCCAGACCTGCCACTAAGTATGTGAGCCCAGGAGTCCGCCCACTCCTCCTTTATGGATTTAGCTCAGGTGTCTAGGTAGTCGGCCACCAAATTCGTGGTGCAGGCTCTCACCTACAGTCGTAGACAGGCATGGGTGATTGGTGTAGGTGTAGACTTCCGGCTGTAGCAGGGGGGTTGCATGCTGAGCAAGACAGGGGGCCGATGGCCGCCCCCGAGTGTCCGGGAGAAAAGCTTGTCCCTGTTCCCTAGGGTGCTTATGTGGATGGGTTTTGCATCTGGACTAAGAGCACCCAGTGCTGTTGGCCGTAAGGACTGGGGGCACCACTTTTTCTTGGGCCCCTGTCGCAGGTGGCTAGGTGGTGTGGGTGGAGCCACCAGTCCTCAGGCCCCTGATGTGGGTAGGTGAAGACCCTGCTTAATGGGTAGAGCAGTGTCAAATGTCAGGAACCTGTCACTTCACAGCTGAAAACAGTTGAAGTTAGACTTCAGGTATATACCTTGTTGTACTGCGGTAATGCGGGCCTATGCCTTTGAAATGGGCCTACAGAAGTCTATGCAGGGGGAGAGGCATTCAGAGTCTGTGGACCCCTTATGCCTGTGCCTTGGCAAGGGGTCTGTGCCTACCCTGAGTTCATGACTTAGGGGAGCCGACAGATTATTTTTTCCCGTTTGTTAATTTGTTCACTCTCCAAGGCCGGGAGAAAGGCTCAGGGCATGTGATAGGTCCTACATCTGGCCCAGGGGACTCGGCAGTTGCTGAAGCCGGTCCCGGACCTAGTGCAGAGCAGGGAGCAGGGAGATAAATGGGAGAGAGGTTTTTCCCAAAGAGGGGTGTTTTTGATCTGTGTGGTAGGCCAGATGCAAATACTTATCTTGCGTCGATCGAGGGCTGCTTCTCATTGGTTCTGGATGGCCGAGTAGACTCTCTGCTGCTGGGTCTCTTCCAGTGTGGAAATCGTGTCCCAAGAGCCACTGCTTGCCTGTCTTACTGTGCAGCACGAGCTGATCTGGCCTGAAGGGCTTAGGCTCTCGCCGGGTCAGGTCTGGAAGCTCCTCACTGCTTCTGAACCGTCTCTCCCTCCCCCTGCCACTCAGTCCGATTCCTCAACTTTACGTTTGATGTTCAGGGCTCCTATATTGTCATATATAATCGATTGACTTGTTTTTTCAGGCCTTATTGTAAGAGGGACCACTGGAAGCATCTGGCTACTCTGCCATCTTGGCCCCGCCCCTGTTTCTAATATCTTAAGATGAATGTTTAGCTTATTTATTTTCAGCCTTTCTTCTATTCAAAGATAAGTTTCTAAGGCTGTATTTTTTCCTTCAGAGTACTGTTTTATCTACATTACACAAATAGTGTGATGTGAGATATTTTCTTAACTGTTAATTTCTAACATTAAAATTTTTTATTATCATTTCTTCTTTAACCCTGGTTATTTGAAAAAATGTTTTAAAAATTCCTAATGTGTTTTCAGGTTATCTTTTTATTAATGGTTTCTATTAATTGCATTCTGATGCAAGAATGGGTTTGTGTGATAGAGATTCTTTGAAGTTTGTTGATATTACTTTATTGCCTGAGGTATGGAAAACAGTAATTTTTAAATAAATGTCCCATATATGCTTGAAATGAATGCGTATTTTCCAATTGTTAGGTGCACTGTTCTCTGTAAGTATATTATGTACTATAAGAACTTATGAGACCAAATTTAAGTGTGCTATTCATATTTTCTGTTTGATTCTGATTTTTGCCTCTTTGATCCATTCAGTTATTAGAAAAATGTGTTAAAATCCCCCACTGATGATGGATTTGTCTAGTTTTCTTTTGTAGTTCTGTCCATTTTTGTTTTACATACTTTGAGGCTATTCTATTAGGTGCATACAAGTTGAGAATTATTATATCTTTCTGATGACTTGAACCTTTTATCATTATTGGATGAGCATCTATTTTATCTGGTCTATTTTATCTGGTAACAGTATAACTAAACTAGCTTTCTTTTGGTTAGTGTTTACTTGGTATATATCTTTTTCAATCTTTTGATTTTCAGCTTTTCTGTGTCTTATTCTTTAAGGTGTATCTCTTGTAAATAGCATATAGCTATATAGCTGATTTTTTTCTGACAGTTTTATGATTATTAATTACAGAGTTTGGCTCATTTACATTGATTATGATATATTTGAATCTGTTACTGTTTTCTTACTTTTTTTGTATCTCTTATTTTTATTTTCCTTTAGAACAAATTCTATATTATTTCCCTTCCCCAGCATCTTATTTTTTTTAGGAGAAAATTTAAATGGAGAAAAGATACAGAAAATAGTATAATAAACACCCGTATGTCTACTATCCAGAGTAAACAAATATTAAGATTTTTGATCATATTGCTTCTTATTTGCTTTTGTTATGTTTAATAAAATATTATAAAGTTGAAGTTTCTTAGGTTCCCCAATCCTGTTTCCCTCTCTCCTTCCCAGAAGGCTAGTACTATCATAGGTTTGTTTTATATCCTCTTAATCCATATTTTTATACTTTTACCATACATATTTGTATCTGTAAATAATACATAGTATTGTTTTATATAATTTCAAATATTAAATAAATGTTTTCATATTATATGAATTGTTTGGCACCTTCCTATTTTAACTAACCCTATTGTTTTGTGATCTAGCCATGTTGATGCATACAAGCCCCCTTGCTCTGGAGTCAATTCCTGCTTATAGCAACCTTATAGGACAGAATAGAACTGCCTGTAGGGTTTCCAATGCTTTAATCAAAGGGAAGCAGTCTACCACATCTTCCTCTTGTGGAGCAGCTTGTGGGTTTGTACCACTGACCTTTTCGTTAGGAGCTGAGTGCTTAACCACTGTGCCACCAACGCTCATTGTTGACACATATAGATGGAGCTTATTCATTTACCCTGCTGAGTAGTACTATTATATGATTATACCACAGTTTATTTCTTTGTTCCTCTATTGGAGGTCTTTTTTTTTCTTTTTTCATATTCATAGCTAATGTTTATTGAAAACATATTACTATATGCTAGGTACTGTGCAAATCTTGAAAAAAAATTTTTATTGTGGTAAAATATATATAACAAAACATTTGCTATTTTAACCATTTTTAAATGTACAATTCAGTGACATTAATTATATTCACAGTGTTGTGCAAGCATCACCACTATTTCCAAAATTTTTTCATCACCACATACAGAAACTCAGCAGTAACTCCCCATTTCCCCCTCCTCCCAACCCCTGATAATCACTGTCAGCTTTGGTTTCCATGCAGTTGCCTGTTTTGGATACTTCATATAAGTGGGATCACAATATTTGTCCTTTTGTGTCTTACTTATTTCACTCAGCATAATGAGAGACTTTTTTTTTTTTTTAATTCCAAACAGTGGTGCAAAGAATATCCTTTCATTTATATCTTGTGCAACATGTCTCCAGGACACATACCTAGAAATGATATTACATACTAAGTCGGAGGTCAGAGGATATGCACTTTTAATGCCTTTTTTAAAACAATGGTTAAGTGTTTAACTGCTAACTGAAAGGTTGGCGGTTCAAACTCATCCAGTGGCAATCTGTTTCCATACAGCTAAGAAAACCCTATAGGGCAGTTCTACTGTGTCACATGGGGTTACTATGAGTCAGAATTGACCAACAGCACCCAACAACAATCTTTGTTATTTAAAATATTATCGAAGTAAATCTAGAGATAAAGACCACAGCAAAATTGTAAGGCTGTGTGTCAAAACCATGGCATGGTTTTGCAGGAGGGTTCTTAAAGTTTAAGCTGATTACTTACTGCTGTCTATCCTTGAAGTCCCTAAACGCACTGCTTTGCCTTCTCTCCTAGCGGCAGTACATACCAGTGAAAATCAAGAGCAAAGCCTTCTGGATCTTTTCTTGGGAGTATGCCATGATGTATGTGGGAAGCCTAGTGGTAATTGTTTGCCTATCATTCTTCCTTCTCAGCTCCTGGGATTTCATCCCTGCAGTCTATGGCTTCATGTAAGTAATCACCTTGTTGGAAAATTCTGGAAGCTAATTTGTTGTTCATATCTCCAGCTGAAATCAGAGGGAGGGAAACCAGGGAGCATCTAGAGCAGTGGTTCTCAAACTTTAATGTGCATCAGAGTTATCTGCAGGGCTTGTTAAAACACATTGCTGGACCTCATCCCCAGAGGTTCTAATTTAGTAAGTCTGGGTTGGGGACTAAGAATTTACATTTCTAACAGGTTTTCAGGTGATGCTGATTCTGCTGGTCCAGGGTACACAGGTTGAGAACCACTGATCTAGAGCACATCTTTGATCTAGTGGGATTAAAGAGCACCTTCTAGGAATATCCAGAACAACTACCAGCCTCCGACTGGAAGATTTTGGTTCAATCTCAAACAGGATTGGATATATTTCTGTACTGCAAGAGGGTCTCTCCTAAGTTTTAAATAAAGCAACCTCACATGTTTCAAACCTTTGGAGAAAACCCAAATGAGTTTGCAGTACTGTAGGCTCGCCTGAGTGTATATTCATGAATTCTGCAAGCATTTCCAAATACTCTTTATGGGGTACTGAGGGCAGTGGTCCCTGGCCAAGCCTTGAGGAGCTCTTAGCCCAGTGGGTGATAGATACTTAAACCTGTCAGGGCAGGGAAAACTTTCTGGAGCAGCAGAACTTCCACTGGGGATTCTGGATGGTTTATTGGCTAAATCCTGGCTGAGCATTCACAAATCACTTAGTAACCTTCCGCTCTTTAAGCTCTGCCTTGGATAGGAGTTTGTAATGGCTGGTGAAAAGCTTTGCCTGGCTTTCTGCTGAACTATAGATTGGTGTTCTTTGCCTCATTTCACAGAAAAGGAAATGTCATTACAGTAAGAGGCAAAGACTTATCCTGGGTGGAGGGCTTGGTCAGTGAAATCTGACCACAAGCCATAGCCCATCTCTCCCTCTCCATGCCCTATTTGTTACCTTTTTTTTTTTTTTTAATTGTGAGTTAAGATTAGTTTGAATGTAAACTTTTAGAAGAGCTAGAATTTTAGCCAATCTTTGTCTGATTTAACCAGACAAAGTTTTCCAGTGAAACCCTAATTTCTCAGATGAGGTCTGGGACTCTCGCGATCCCAGCCAGAACCTGCTGATGGCTCCTCAGGTCCTTGGCAGTCTCACTGCAATCCCAGCACTCAAGTCTTCTGGCTCCTGCTGTGGGATGTGTAGCAAGAACAGTGAGGAGCAGGGTCTTTGAGCTTGTTCCTCTAGGCATGTCTTTGGACTGACCAAAATAGATATTATTTATTTAAAACCCATTCCTCCTTCGTTAAAACACTGAGTATCTCCTGATTTTAAACTTATGTCTTATATGGTAAAAGAGGGATTGATCTCTTGATTTCTAGGATGTGTCCCTTCCCTCATTTCAGATCTTTGATGCATGCCAGAGATTGGCACAAGTTAACATTTTTGGCAGGGTTATCATTCTCTGTGTCTCTGCCCCTTGATTTTTTTAATTGTCCATACTCAGGGTACCTGGAGAGTCCCTCACATTCTAATATCTGTAGGGACAGAGTCATCCTTGGCTGCACAACAGTGACCAGAGTCTTTAGGAGAAAATAAGGTCTAAGCAGATCATTTATAACTTTGCTGTCTTTTTTCTCTCCCTTTGTTTTCTTAATTCCAGACTTTCTGTTCCAGATCTCACTCCAAACATTGGTCTTTTCTGGTACTTCTTTGCAGAGATGTTTGAGCACTTCAGCCTCTTTTTTGTGTGCGTGTTTCAGATCAACGTCTTCTTCTACACCATCCCCTTAGCCATAAAGCTAAAGTAAGTGATGGGACCTGCTTTTTGCACAGGGTCCTCACCCTTACCCCCTTGTAGCCTTATAGGTTCCCTTCGAACTGGAAACATCGGTTATCAGGTTCATGCTATCTTTGCCCAAAGAACCTTGCCCTCAGTCACCTCAGGTACCAGTGGCCATAGCTACCAATCTAGAGTCACATGAGTATAGGCTGCAGGGAAGGTACGTTGGAGCCCAGACATTGTCCCTGGCCTCAGTTTGAGGCACTTGAGCTTGCATTGCTGCTGATGCTTCAGTTTAGTCAGACTGGCCGTTTTGATAAGAGCAGGGAGTGGGGGATGTCTTTGGAAAAAGTGGATCTGGTTGGGTGTCGTCCATCAGCTCAGTGACAGGTTGTCCACGGGGACATCAGGATGTATTAGTTGGGAGACTGACCATCTGCAGCTCTGATCAGTTTCCCTCAAAAGGGTTTGTCTGTGGAGCTCTCTTCTGCAGTGCAAGAGAGCTAATGTGTGTGAGCATTACTCCATCCCAGGTATCTTTCTAGGCTCTCTGAAAACGTAATCATAGCTAACCCTTCCAGCAACTCTTAGAGGTAGGTATTACATAATTATCATCTTTCCCATTTTATAGTTGAGAAAACTGATGCTCAGAGAGGTGAAATGATTTTCCCAGTGTCACACACTAGTAAGCGAAGGAGTTGGTATTCCAACCCAGGTTTGTCTGCCTCCAGACTCTATGCTCATTCTCCTGCACCATGCCAACTCCTGAGAGAGATCAGACTGTAGTAGCCCCCAGAAATGCTTCTGTTATCCTACCTTTAGAAAAGGGAAAACGGGCACAAACAGATACAGATATACATGGATGGTCCAGGGAACCTGGAGAAAAGTTTGATTTTGATTTCAAGAGCTTCAGTTCTCTGCTGTAACCCTCCTGCCATTCTCTATGGCCAGTGCACCAATGCACATGATTCCCCTTTTGGTAAAGCCCAGAGCTGATGTTTCTTTCCCAGGAAACAGCTGTGGCCTAGCATCTGTTAGAAAACCACGTTTCCTTGGCCTGGCAGCCTTGCCCAGCCCAGCTCTCTAGCTATCTGTGGTCCACCTTCCCTGCCCGTGTTCTGGTCAGGCTTAGTCACTGGGCTGAGAGAAGCAGGGAGCCCAGAGTACCTTTCCTCACATCTGGGCAGTTCTCCAGCATCTTTTATTGTCTCTGTGTGACAAACCACAGAAGGTACCTGGGTAGACAATCACAATACCATCATGTGACTCCCTCAGGCCAGAAGCTATGAAGATACCTGATCTTCCCCACTGCTGGCTCCTCTACCTGGATATGAACCTCCAACTAAACTCTGCAGCCCCTTGCAGTTTTTGCTTCCACTGCCAGCTTTGTGGGAGAAGGACCCTGCAGGCCACCTCTACCCCTGTGCAGTGTTGCAGGAGGTTCTAGTTGCAATGTTTTTTGTGAGCGCATTTTCACCGGCCTTTCCGTAGAAATGATGCAGCTGTTAACCAGCTTCCTGAAAAGCCTAAAGCCTATGACTTGGACTGTCTTCATGAAGATATTGAAAAAGTTCACTGAGCTAAGTGGACTCTTCTTAGAAGCTATAGGACTGTGGGACTGCCAAGCTGAGTTTCTGAGGCATTTGCTGTATAGCAGTGCTGGAGTGTTTAGGGTGTGTACATGTTTGTTTCCACATCTCAGATTTACACCCACTGAGTCACTCTGACCTTTGACCCAAAGACAAGAATGTCATTAACCTCTGAAGAAAATCCTCATGAGCTGGGCATCCAGGTACTGTGCATTGTAGGCCACATGCATGTGTTGTAGGTGTAGCTGAGGAGGGTGCTAGGTCTGGCCTCTTTCTGTTTGCTTCCTTTCTGTACTTGGCCAGAGCTCAGGGGCGCACTGGAGATTGAGCCCCTCCCCCCCCGACCAGAGCTGTGAAGTGTATTAAGCACTCAGGAAAACAGTATTGGTGGTGGTTAGGAGGCAAACAACTCCATCGCTTACTGACTTCCTTAGTCAACTCACTCAACTTCTCTGAACCTCAGTTTCCTCATCTGTAATGTGTAGGTGATGGTATTACCTACCTTCAGGGATAGTTGAGGTGTTGTAAAAATCACACGAGATGATCAAGAAAAAGAGCCCAGCACAGAACTTAGCACAGAGTGAATGTTCAGGAAATGGTCGCCATTGCTATCACTGATTAGCAGTTTAAGGTAACAAAAACTTCAGTTCCAGTCCTTAAGAGTTGAAAAGCTGCATGCACTCTCAGTTATCCTCTGGAAAGGAGATCATCATTGCTAAGGGTCTGCCAGTCTCACTGACCATATCGTCAGAGTAAAAGGCATCAGCAGGAGGTACTTCCTGCTCTGGGTCCAGCTGTCAGAGGGGCCTCTGGTAAGGGAGGCTGCCTAATTGTAATTACTCTGACCAACAGTCATTTAAGCCTAATAATAAGTATCGCTGACTTCATTTGTTTTCCTCCTAGGTGGCTTCTGGGGGAAGGCCTGGAGCTGGTTGCGGGGGTGGGGGGGTGGTGTGGATTGATGGAAAATGTTTCTGGGGGCTGTGTCTATAGCATTTGCTAGGCCTTCCTCACCACCTCTGAGCATTCCTGGGTCCCTGCAGTTTTCTGCTCTGCCACTCAAGCCAGGCACCTTTCCTTGTGGGTAACAGAACCAGCCCCTGCCTAAAGTCCCCTGGGAAGTGTTTTTGGGTTCGAGGATTGGGGCCAGGCATCTCTGGGGTGAGCTTGGTCCCTTACTGATCTCTGTCTTCCCTGCTCTTCCCCAGGGAGCACCCCTTCTTCTTCATGTTCATCCAGATTGCTGTCATCTCCATCTTCAAGTCATACCCAACAGTGGGGGATGTGGCACTCTACATGGCCTTCTTCCCTGTGTGGAACCATCTCTACAGATGTAAGTATTCCCACCTCTAACCCCCTTGTGGGAGATTTCTGTCAGCCTGGCCCCTGGATGAGACAGCTGGGGAACAGGAATTTCTAGGCATTTATTGGGCATCTGCTATGCCAGCAGCACCGAGAGAGGCCAGTGACATGAGACACAATATCTGCCCCCTAGGTGCTTATGGGCCACTGATAATAATAAAAATAACTACCATTTATTGAGCACTACTGTGTACCTGGCCACTGTGGCTCTAAGAGTGTTAACATTTGCTCATTTTATCTTCCCACCAGCCTTATGAGGAAAGAATCTCTGTTGCAGGTGAGGTAAGGAAAGGTAGAGCCACTTGTTCAAAGTCACATGGCCGTTAAGTGGAAAGGCTAGGATTGGAATCCAGATTTATGAGTCTCTAGCCAGCACTGTCCAGTAGAACTTTACGTGATGATAGAAATTTCCCATACCTGCATGTCCAGTAGGGTAGACACTAGTGACTGAGGAATGGAATTTTAAATTTTATTTAACTTCAATTAATTTAAATTTAAGAGGCCACATGTGGCTAGTGGCTGCTGTTTTGGATAGTGTAACTCTAAACCTTAAAAGTACAACTCCGGACCCCAACGCTGCACCCAGATGTTCTGAGAAGACAAATGGCCAACACTAGACTTCTGCCCACTGCAAATACCTCCTTAAGCTCTAACCATCCCTTCCTCAGAAGATGGCTTAGCGGTGATCTAGCTGTGCTATCCAGGCCCCCAGTGTTCCCTCAGTAGGCTCTTAGTACTCTGTGGTAGGTTATTTTCAGCGTTTGTGGATTCCCTTAGGTCAAGAGTCATGACTCATTCACCTCTTTATTCCTAGCACCCAGGATTAACCTGACACACAGTAAGAATTCGGCAGATGTTTGTGGAGTGGGTTTTAAAACCTCCATAATAAAGAGGCAGTGTCAGTGAGCCAACACTTGATTCTCAAAAATAAAACAGGGAAGGGAGTTGCTGAACTTTCTTTGCTTACTGTGGGTGCACAGCAAGGTGTCACAAGTGAACACAGGCATGCATGCTTCGGAGGAAGTGAGTCTTTGTTGTTGTTTTGGTGCTGTCTGGGCGTCAACCAGGAAGTGAAACTGACCAGCTGCCAGCAAGAAACCTACCTGTAAGAGTGGGCCTCTGAGTGAAGGTAAACAGCTGAGTGGGCAGGCCAAGCCAAGGCTGCTCTTGCAGGTGGTGGCCTGGTGGGGCAGTGACCCATCTGGCCTGACTGGAAGGAGGAAGTGGCACTTGTCACCTGTGACATTGTCACTGCACAGACAAGAATCACGTGGTCCAGCAGGCCTCAGAGTCAGCTTGTGGTCCCTCAGCAGAGTAGCCAGTGACAAATTACAAGGCCACCACAAACGTGGGCATACCCCAGTTTGTGATGGAGTGGGTCTTGGGGACATTGATCCCCTTTTCCCAAAAGTAGAATTTTTTTTTTCCTGAGCTTGTCTGTCCCACATAGGGTACTCTCTATCCCTGGGGTTAATGTCTTTCATTCCATATTGCTGAACACAATCTGAAGCTAGACTGACTTGAATCTGAATCCTGACTTTCCCATTACTAACTATGGTCCATAGGTAAACCATTTAACCTTTCAGCCTCAGTTTTTTCATCTGTCAAATGGGAAGAATATCTTCCATGGGTATTTTGAGTTTGAGAAAGAATATATGTCTAGGGTCTTAAAAGCTTGTGAGCAGCCATCTAAGATCCAACTAATGGTTTCTGCCCATCTGGAGTAAAGGAGAGTGAAGAAGACCAAAGACTCAAAGGAGCAATTAGTCCAAAGGATTAATGGACCACATGCAGCACAGCCTACATGACCCCAAGACCAGAAGAACTAGATGGTGCCCGGCTACCACTACCGACCACTCTCTGACCAGGATCACGATAGAGGGTCTCAGACAGAGCAGGAGAAAAATATAGAACAAAAAATCAAATTCATAAAAAAAGACCAGACTTACTGGCCTGATAGAGACTGAAGGAACCCCCAAGGCTATGACCTTAAGTCACCCCTCTGGCTTGAACTGCATCCGTTCTCGGAAACCACCTTTCAGCCAAGCAATAGATAGGCCTATAAAATAAGCAATAACACCTGAAAAGAATGTTCTCAGTAGAACAAACAATTATAGGCACCAGAAGGGCAACATTTGCCCGAATGTAACGAGAAGGCAGGAATGGGTAGGAAAACAGAGGAAAGGTAACAGAGAACCCAGGGTAGAAATGGGGAGAGTGTTGACACAGTGTGGCGAATGCAACCGGTGTCGTGGAACACTTTATGTACAGTTTATTGAATGGGAAACTAATTTGCTCTGTAAACTTTCACCTAAAACACAATAAAATTTTTTTTTTTTTAAAAAGAATATATGTAAATAGCACTGCTTATTATCATCAGTAATAATTATGCAGGGAGGGTCTTTTGCATGGTTCCATGATCAAAGCTTCAGGCTTGGTAGCCATCAGAGTCACTGGAATAAACATATTTTCAGAACTTGAAATAAGCTATTTTATGTCCTCAGGGACGATGAGGCACAGAGAATAAGGATGAGCTTTCTGGAAATCTGGATGATCTAATAGATGCTGTTGCTGGCTGGCTGGGCAAGCAGTTTACGGGCTCTGCTTAGCTGAAGCTCAGCAGAGGGTGGTGGCTGCCACCCCTCCTGCCCAGCTCCTGAGGCAGGGATACTCATGCTTGGAGTCCTTCTTGGGGGCATGACAATTGTGAGTCATTATGTTCAGCTAGGAGTGTCTTCAGCCCTTGTCCTTTGGACCTGTGAGTGGAGACTTTGAGACATCTTTAATTCTAGGTTGAATAGAGTCAGAATTTTAATGTGGCTAGAAATTTAAACATTAGTTGCCAGTGCTAACATGCCTGATCTAACATTCACCTTTCTGTTGTCCTGTCCTGGTCAGTGGGGAATAGAGGAGGAACGTGGATCCCTTTCTGAGTGAAGGCTCCAGACACCGGACTCTGTTGCTTGGGGATGGGATGAGTCATACAGACACAATTGCGGCATTAGGGAACAGCCTGCTGGTAAAGCAGTGCCAGCCTGCACTGGTCCAGTGAAAAGAGTCATTTACCAAAGGGCTGGATCTTTCTTGGCATGTTTTGATTTCCTTTTACTAACTTGTATAGAGAGTAACGAATATTGATAAATACGCATATAAGTTATAAAGAATAACAATACAATTAATTCCCATGTACCTAGCACCTAGAAACCCTGGTGGTGTAGTGATTAAGTGCTACAGCTGCTAACCAAAAGGCTGGCATTTCGAATCCACCAGGCGCTCCTTGGAAACTCTGGGGCAGTTCTACTCTGTCCTGTAGGGTTGCTATGAGTCGGAATTGACTCGACAGCAGCGGGTTTGGTTTTGGTTAGCACCTAGTTTAAGAAAGGGAACATCACCATGGCCTTTGAAGTCCCCAAATCCCCCCTGTGCTCCTCCTGATGGGACCAGTTTCTTTAAACAAAATTTTATTTCTGAATGCCTGAGGCTCAGAAAGAAGGTGACTTACCTGAAGTCCCACTGTTTGTCATAGTGGAGCCAGAGACTGGATAAGCCACCGAATGGGTGAAGTGGGGAATCTGACTGCATCTGGCCTAGCAGGTCTGATGAAGGGTGAATCCTTTGATCTCGTTAGACCCTGGTCTTCTCTGACATCGCTGACACCTTCTGGTGCGTGGAACAAGCTGTCCTGTGCCTCAGGTCCCCAGCTCCATCTGCTCTGGCATACAGCTTTAATCCTCTGACCTGTCAGCCAGCAAAAGTGGAAGTGGCTCCCAGTTCCTGCAAAGGTCGCTGCAGGCCAGGAGCCAGCTGGATGCTGGTGACATTTCCCCTAAGCACAGGGGAATATGTCTTTACTGCTCTCACTGATTGCACCCAGGAGCTGCATGGGAACCTCTCTCAGTCTCTTTGCACTTGGTCACCCTCCTGTCACCCCATCTGAAATCCAGAGTGGCTGGAGGCATGGAATAAAGACTGTCAGGCTACAAGAGTTTAATTTTAGGAATAGTGTATATCCTTTTCAGCAGACTAATTTCCAGGGGACAGAAAAAAACACTGAAGAATGTAAATAGTGATGTTGGAGAGGAGAAATGTTAAATAGCTTTATTTTCCTTTTTTGGGGTTGTAATGTTGTTTAATAATAATAATTATTATTATTCTCAGTGCAAACATCCCTTTTCTCAGACTTGTTAGTCCTGGGAGTAGAGGAAGAGGCTGCCCTTGGAGGTCTCAGGAAGGCTTGAGTCATGGCTCCGACCTCTCAGCTTTGAAATCCCAGAATTGTAGAAATTCCAGGCTAGAAAAGAGGACCTTGGAAGCCCTCCAGGCCAGTGCTCCTAAATTTTGGGATTTCACAGACCACTAAAATTCAAAAAACATCTGGAGGGATGACAGAGTTGCCAACTTTTCATTGTGCTGAAGACATTAAAACAACTACCAGCCACTCATCTCCATTTCATAAAAGAAACGACTTTTTAACAATAGCAACAAAGAGACACTTGTTATTTCACAGTAAAGAAGGAGCCTTAAGTTGAAAACATTCAGCTTTAGAAAGAACTGTGAACTATTTTGTGCTGATTATTCTCACTTTGACCCAGCTCAGTAAAATCTCTGTTGTGCATCGGTAAAGTCTACAGCCTCTTCTTTGGGTATTGTTGCTGTAATCCAGCGGTTCACAGCACTGGCTGTATATTGCAGTCACATGGAAAGCTTTGGGACCCAGCCCTAGAGATTCTGATTTAATTGGTCTGGGTAGGGCCCCGGCAACTATTTTTTTAAACTCCCCAGGTGTTGCCAGTATGCAGAAAGTTTGAGAACCACTGCTTGCTCTAGAGGTTCTGATTTAATTGATCTGGGTGGGGCCCAGTCATCTGTATTTTTTTTTCAAAGCTTCCAAATGATTCTATCGTGCAGCTAAAGTTGAGGATCATGTCTGTAATCCAGTCTCCTTTTTGATTCCTGAACCCTCTGTTTAGCCTTTCTACTAAGTAGTTGTACAACTGAGGCAATCAGGTCTTAAGTTTTGGACAGCGCTGACTTTGGAAAAGGGAATTCCTGATGGACCGGATCAGAGAAAGGAAGGGAACTTTCATGTACTAAGTGCTTACTGTGTGCTGTGAGGTAGGCCCAGTGCTAAATTCTTTTTTAAAAGGTATTTTTAAAATTATTTTAAATATTAGTTTAAAAAATACTATAAAGCATTAAAAAGGAAATAAAAGTAGCATATAATCCTACTGTCAGGTAACTCCGTACTGAATTAAAAGGGGAAAAAATAACACAGTAGGGTAGGCAGAATAATGGCATCCCCAAAGATGTCCATTCTGTAACCACCAGAACCTGTGAATATGTTTGTTACCTTATATAGCAAAAGGGACTTTAAGTAAAAGACCTTTAGATGGGACCGTTATCCTGGAATCTTCAGGTGGCCCAGTGTAATCACAAGGATGCTTAAAAGTGGAACAGGGAGGCAGAAGAGGAGGTCAGAGTGATGTGATGTGCAAAGGACTCAACCTACTGTTGATAGCGTTGAAGATGTAGGAAGGGGGCAACTATCCCAGGAGTGTGGGCAGCCTCTAGATACTGGAAAAGGCAAGGAAATGGATTCTTCCCTAGAGCCTCCAGAAGGAACACAGCCTTGCAGATAGATACCTTGGTTTTAGCCCAGTGAGATCCGTTTTGGACTTCTGACCTCCAGAGCTATAAGATAATAAATTGTATTGTTTAAGCCACTAAGTTTGTGGTAATTTGTTACAGCAGCAATAGAAAACTAATACATACAGTAATACATCTGTGCCAGGTTTTCCACACATCTTTTTCTTTAATCCATGTAACGCTCATATAAGTTAGGCATTTTAGCCCAGTTTTAGAGATGAGGAAATAGGCTCAGAGAAACTTGCTAATAAATGATAGAGCAGGGATTTTAATGGAGGTCTCTCTGAGGCCAGGCCTGTTCCCTGCTATCATGCTGCCTTCCCTTCCAGCTGTACTCAGCTTGCCTGCCCATAGGGCCATCTAGTGTAGCACATCCTTCTGAGGCCTTGGGGAGAGTTTTTGCCCAAGTGGAATTCAGCATGCCCTCTGAGGCTGGAGGGGTGATGTCAGAGAGGGAGGATTTCAAAAAGATTTATAAATCATCATCTAAGGAGAGTGTGGGTCATTTGAAGAGCAAGGTGGGAGACTTAAGACAATAATTAAGGAGAATAAAAAACATGTTCCTCAAACCTGGGTTGTGGCACTCTAATGACCCACTATGAGGCTCTAATCTCCATGGATTCATTCTGTCATTCCCATCCATGATAGGACATGGCCAGTAGCCCCCTTCTTGGGGAGAGGGGAAGAGTTACTCTTGGACACTCTGAAATCGGGGGGTGGGGGTAGTGTCTTGCTGAAATACCATCTTTGCGGTTCCCAGAGGCATTCCTGGCACTGCCAGCTACATCAGGTCTTGGCCAACTAAGCTCACAGTGGGAGGTACAGAATTAAAATCTAGGATCCCCTCCTGCTGTGGGCATGGAGAGCCGTTCACTCAGGGGTCTGAGGTTTGCCTCTTGCCAAAGAGTGCCTTGGGGGTGGGGGCTCTGTCTTTAAGCTACATGAGGCTCTCCATGGACCTCTGTCCTATGGGGTCATCACAGCAAGGAGAGGGTCCCAAAGAGAGTTGGCATTGGGCTAACTGTGACCATCTGTCCTTGCAGTCCTGCGAAACATCTTTGTCCTCACCTGTATCATTATCGTCTGCTCCCTGCTCTTTCCCGTCCTGTGGCACCTCTGGATTTATGCGGGAAGTGCCAACTCTAATTTCTTTTATGCCATCACACTGACCTTCAACGTTGGGCAGGTAAGTGTTGAGAGTGGCATGGGGACAGGGATTCATTTTGTAGCCTCCGGCATTCTATCAAAACCACCCTGGGTTCTGCATACTAGAGGTTTGGACATGTATAAGGAACAGTTCTCCCCTCAAATAGCTCACAGTCCAGTAGAGAAGATAAGGAAGTTAAGAGCAGTGGGACACAGAATCTGGTTAAAGTTTATTGGGCACTGTGCCGAGCCATTACTTCCTTGAATTCTCACAGCAATCCTATGAGATAGATAGTGTTGTTTCTGTTTTACAATTGGGGACCTGAAGCTTATGTAGGTTGTCTCTTGCCTAGCGTCATTGGAGGAGCCAAGAACCAGATTCAGATAAGGCTTGATTTCTGAGCCTGCCATCTTTCTGTAACAGTGCTTGGTGTGCGTGGTGCCCACAGTGAGTACACCATGTGAGGGTGGGAGAGGGCTTGGCCAAGGAGAGGAGAAGCTTTCCAGACTACAGGGACAGCAGGAGCAAAGGCAGGGAGGTGAGAAATGGTGTAGCTGTTGGGTAAGTCTGGAGCGCAGACTGTGAGGCCGTGGGTAGTCGGGGAGGAGGCTGTGGGAGTCAAAGGATGAGGAGCACCAGCAAGGAGGTTAGACCTCCCTCTGACCCGGAAAGCCTCTCCCTTGACTCCATAGAGCAGTGGTTCTCAAGCATCAGAATCACCAGGGGGAGCTTGTTAAAAACGCAGATTCCCTGATCACACTCCCAGATATGTTGATGGACTCCATGTGGAATATGGGGTCAGGAATTTGTACTTTTAACAGGTTCTCCCAGAGATTCTGTTGCAGGTGGTCTAGCAAATCCCATGTGGAGACATCTTTCCCTCTCGCTGCTTCCTTTCAGGTCAGGCTCTGTCCTCATTGTCAAGGTCTCTCTGAGAATCAGTTGTACTGTTTCCCACTTCTGTTGCCATTACCACAGTCAGGCATTTCCTGTACTTAATGGATTGGATGGGAAACAGGGATAGCTGGAAAAACTAATGATGCCAGTGGATAATCCCCAGGGAAACTCTTGCCTCCAAGCTTAGCTACTGGGAGGGAAGAAGGGAGTTAAGGCTCTTTCAATGAGTGAGGGGACTGGTATTTTCTGGTATGGACATTCCTGGAGAATTAATGTCCAGCCCAGCCATTTATATTGGTTTGTGAAAAGCAGGAAGAGAGGTGGCGGGCCCTATAGCCTGAGTGGGACCAGGCCAGAGTGCCTATTCTGCCTGTCCCCTGGTGGTTATAGATGGTGAATGCTCAGCAGCTCCTACCTATGTCCCACACAGACAGCAGTCCTCAGGGTTCAACTTAGTATCTTGACGGACTCCAAAAGGCTGTACTGGCTGTTCTGTCTTGCGGGAATCCCTCTTACTTTTTCTTTGACAGTAATGACTGGGATGTGAAGGCATTGGGCCTAGACATGGGCTTCTGGTGAGGTTGGTGAGCTCCACCTAAGAATTCTGCAGCCTGTTGTCATGTCATGAGTCTCAAGTTTGGGTCAGGAAATACAGTTGCAGTGGTGATGAAGCATTTGTGGAACTTGCCAGAAAACAGCCCTTCCCCTGTGGCTGCCTTTATGAGAGAAGGGTCTCTGTAAACAGCATGGGGGATGCTGTGTTAGGTGCTGTTGAAGGCAGGAGAAACTGAGTTGTTGGAAAAAGAGAGATTGTAGTTGGGGTGGGGACCAAAGGCCAGGGTTGAGTGTGTTAGTGGCCAAGCTATGGAGAAAAGTTGGGCTGAATCCTTCGGGTTGTCTTTTGCCTTTTAAAAATCTCTTTTTAAAATTTATTTTTAACCATTCAAATAATACATGAATTCATTATTTTGGGGGGGAAAGAATTTAAACAATAGAAGAATATAGGAATGAAAGTGATTGCCTGAGCCCCCATTCCTCCCCAACCCCAGGGCAGATGTGGTCATTGGGATCAGTTTGTATTTTCTTTCCATCTTTTTCATTGTTGTTGATTTTGTGTTTGCTGAGTCTTTACGTTTTTCATTTGATTGTGTAAGATTAGTAGTTTCCTTTGTGGTTACCTTAATATTTAACCCTGTTTTTCTAAGTTTATACCAGTTTTTTATTTATTTATATCGCCTTGACTTCCTCTCCATATGAAAAATCTATGTCTGCATTTTTTAAGTTGCTCTTTTTTGTTTTAATGTTGTCATCTTTTACATAATTGACGTTGCTGATTTCTTATTTTCGGTGTTTTAGCTTTGATTTATTTTTGTGACTTCCCTGTCTGGGTTTATATATGGTTGCTCTGTCCTGTGTTCTAGTCTTGGGTTGTTATCTGATGTTACTGATTTTCTAACCAGACGATCCCTTTAGTATTTTTTTAATTTTGGTTTGGTTTTTGAAAATTCCCTGAACTTCTGTTTGTCTGGAAATGCCCTAATTTTGCCATCATATTTGAGAGACAGTTTTACTGGATATATAATTCTTGGTTGGCAGTTTTTTCCTTCAAGGCTTTATATATGTCATCCCATTGCCTTCTTGCCTGCATGGTTTCTGCTGAGTAGTCCAAGCTTATCTTACTGACTCTCCTTTGTAGATGACTTTTTGTTTATCCTTAGCCACTCTTAAAATTCTCTCTTTATCTTTGGTTTTGGCTAGTTTGATTATAATGTGTCTTGGTGACTTTCTTTTGGGATCTACCTCATGTGGGGTTTGATGACCTTCTTGGATAGATATCTTCTCATCTTTCACGATATCAGGGAAGTTTTCTGCCAGCAAATCTTCAACAATTCTCCCTGTATTTTCTGTTATCCCCCTCATTCTGGTACTCCAATCACTTATAGGTTATTCCTCTTGATAGAGTCCCACATAATTCTTAGGGTTTCTTCATTTTTTAAAATTCTTTTATCTGATTTTTCCTGAAATAAGTTGGTGTCAAGTGCTATATCTTCAGTCTCACTAATTCTGACTTCTTTTGCCTCAGTTCAGCTCCTATGACTTTCTATTGAGTTGTCTAATTCTGAAATTTTATTGTTAATCTTCTGGATTTCTGATTGTTGTCTCTCTAGGATTCTTGCAGCCTGTTAAATTTGTCATTGTGCTGTTCTCTAATCTTAATTTCCTCTGTTGCGTTCCCTGTGTGTTCCTTGTCTTGTTCTTCATTTTGCCTGATCTCCTTCCAGATCTCTTGAAGAGTTCTGTATATTAATCTTTTGTATTCTACCTCCAGTAATTCCAAGAAGTTCTCTTCCTCCGAAAAATTTCTTGATTCTTTGTTTTGGGAGTTTGTGGAAGCCATCATGGTCTGCCTCTTTATGTGATTTGATATTGACTGTTGTCTCCGAGCCATCAGTAAGTTATTATATTTATTTTATGTTTGCTTACTGTGTCCTAGCTTTTGTTTTGTTTTGATATGCCCAGATAGGCTGCTTGTGTGAGCTAGTTTGATTATTGGTGACTTTGAAACTCTAATATCCTGTCGTCAGGTTGTTAGATTTGTTACTAGGTATCTGAGCCCAGGAGTCTGTTTATTTTTCTTGTATGGATTCCGCTCAGGTAGTCAGTCACCAAGTATGTGGTGCAGACTCTCACTACAGTCCTAGACGGGCAGGGGTGATTAGAGTAGGCACAGGTATCTGGCTGCAGTAGGGGGTCATGTGCTGAGCAAGGCAGGGGGCTGATGGCTGCTCCTGAGTGTCTGGGAGGAAAGCTTGTCCCTGTTCCCTAGAGTGCATGGGTGGGTAGGTTTTGCACCCGGACTATGGGTGCCCAGTGCTGCTGGCTGTAAGGACTGGGAGATACCACTTATTCTTGGACCCCTGTCGCAGGTAGCTAGGTGTCATAAGTGGAGCCACCAGTCCTCAGGCCCCTGATGTGTGTAGGTGAGGACCCTGCTTAATGGGCAGAGTGGGATCAAATGTCACGAACCTGCCGCTCCACAATATAGCTGATACAGTGAAGTTAGGCTTCAGGTATATATCCTGTTATACTGTGCTAATGAGGGCCTACACTGTTGAAACGGGCCCTCGCAGGTCTGTGCAGGGGGGAAAGGCATTCAAAGTCCATGGACCCATTATGCCTGTGCCTAGGCAAAGGAGCTGTGCCTGCCTTGAGTTCCTGGCTTAGGGGAGCTGGCAGATTATTTTTTCCTGTTTGTTAATTTGTTCCCTCTCCAAGGCCAGGAGAATGGCTCAGGGCTCGTGATGGGTCCTACTTCTGGCCCTGGGGGACTTGGCAATGGCTGAAGCTGGCCCGGGATGGTACAGAGCGGGGAGGGAGCAGGTAAATAGGAGAGAGGTTCTTCCCAAATGGACTGTTTTTTGATCCATGTGGTAAGTTAAACACATGTACTTATCTTTTGCTGATTGAGCACTGCTTTTCACTGGCTTTGGAGGCCTGAGCAGACTCTCTGTCACTTGGTCTCTCCTGACGTGGAAAACGCATCCCGAACGCCACTGCTTGCCTCACCACACCTGCCAGCAGATCCGGCCCACAGGGCACTGGCTTCCACTGGGTCAGGTCTAGCAACTCCTCGCTGCTTCTGAACTCTCTGCCTTCCCCTGCCACTCAGTACGATTCCTCAACTTTGCCTTTAATGTTCAAGGCTCCTAGATTGTCATATATAATCGACTCACTTGTTTTTTTGGGTCTTTGTTGCAAGAGGGACCACTGGAAGCGTTTGACTTTTCCACCATCTTGGCCCTGCCCCCGGGATCATTTTGGTGTGTGTCTTTGCAGACTTTCTCTGTGTATTTACAGACAGCTATAAATACATCATAGCCATCTATAAAGAACTTTTTTGTTTGCATAATAAATGGTATCTTACTCTAAGTACTGTTCTTTGACTTGCTGTTTTTCACTTAATGATCTTATCTTGAGAGGGTTTTTTAATGGGTCCATGATATGCCATGGTTAGGAAGAACCATGATTTGACTAGACCCTGTTGATGGATATTGAGTTTGCCTCTGTTAATTTCACTACTGTAAATGGAAGAACCTTGTGTATCCTTTCACATATTCTTATACTCTCGTCTCAGTTTTTTCTTAGGATAGATCCCAAGTGGTGGGATTTGCTGGGTCAGAGGGCATGTGCATTTTATATTTTGCAGATATTGCCAAGTTGCCCTTTAGACAGGTTGTTTCAACCTACAGGCCTCCCAGCAGTGGTCCAAGTACCCCATAAGCCAACAGTTTGTTCAGGCATCCAGCCCACCTGTGTCATCAGCCTCCTAGGGTCTGGGCTCTGTGGCCCAAATGCTTCCTGGGACTGCTGGTTTTGGGCCTGGCTGCTGCTGCCAGATCATAAAGGGATGTGTGTCAGATGGGAGTATTTACTCACCAAGGTAGTCACTCAAATCATATCATTGTCCTAAAGTAGAGGAGTGCTTCTCATCATGAAAGTTGCACTATCCCTGCCCTTGGGAGCCACAGAGTGCAAATATGGGAAATGTAAAATTTTGTTATGTTGTTGTTGTTGTTAGGTGCCATCAAGTCAATTCCAACTCATAGTGATCCCGTGCACAACAGAACAAAATGTTGCCTGGTCCTGCACCATCCCCAAGGTTTTTGCTATATTTGAGCCCATTATTGCAGCCACCGTGTCAGTCTGTCTCATTGAATGTTTTCCTCTTTTTCGCTGACCCTCTACTTTGTCAAGCATGATGTCCTTCTCCAGGGACTGGTCCCTCCTGATAACTTGTCCAAAGTACATGAAACAAAATCTCGATGACTGGAGAAGAGCTGCCTCCTCAAAGCAGAAATGACCTCAATGACATGGATTAGAATTTTAGTAAGAATTAAATGTCACCTCTTCAAAGAGAGCTTCCATGAGGTTCCCCTGCCGCACTTTTCTCTTTCTCAGCCCATTTGTTTCGTTCTTAGCACTTACCCAATTTGTGATTTTATGTTATTTATTTGCTTCCCTGACTCTCTGCCCCACTAGTCTGTGAGCTTCATGAAGGCAGAGACGTGCTTGTCTTACCTACTACAGGGTCCCAACTACCAGATCAGTACCTGGCACAGAGAAGTGGCTTAGCTAGTATTTGTTGAGTGGATGAATGTACCAAAGATAGCCAGGTAGAGCATCATGTGATTAATCGCCAGGTATGCAGAGAGTAATTGTGGGAGGAATCTAGAAGGGAACAAGATCACCTTTCCTGTTGTCAGTGGTCAGGGAAAGCCTTAGAGGATGAAGGCTAAGAGCTGAGCCTTGTCAGATTTGAAGAGTGAGAGGGGTAGGGGGGATGTTTTAGGAGGTGGGGAAGACGGGCTAAATCACCCCCACTGGCTGAGGTCAGTGGGTAGACAGCGCTGTCCCTAACCCTTCTCCAGTCTCCGCCAGACCTGGTCTCTTGTGGCTGGCGAAGCCCCTGCTTCAGTCTTACCTTCAGTCAGCACTTCCATTGAGATATATGGCATTTTGGGAGGTGTCTTCAGTTCCACAGCCAGCTTTTATCAGCCCTCCCGCCTGGAACGTACTCTGTAGTCACCTGGTTCTCATTCTCCCCTGCCAGGACAGCACTGCCCTGGAAACCAGATGAGTATGGATTTCAGCCAGGTGTCCAGAGCCTGGACCATCATTGCCGGCTCAGGAGCTGAATATAGAGAATGTTTTGACATTTTGGCCTACAGGTTTTTTTAAAGTACTGCTCTGTTTAAGTTAGTCAGTGCAATACCTTATTATAGAACAAATTATTTGCAGATTATTAGTTACACTGGCAGGTAGACCAGTGACTCAGGCATCATCCTTTCCCTGGAGGTCATTAAGTGTTTTTCAGTATGTGGCATGGACCATTTGCTGTTTATAATTGAGTCAGTAACTAGGAAATGACAGCAGTAAACTATCCAGAGGTAGGTTTGTGTGTGTATGTGTAGTGTATGTATATTTGTATATGTGTGGGAAATGTGTGTGTGTGAGAGAGAGAGAGACAGCTAGCAAGAAAGAGAGACTGAAATAGATTGATTGAGGTCCTCCCCCAGTTCCCACTGTGGGTGACCTTGAGCAAGTGGTTAAACTTCTGTGGGTTGCAGTTGTCTCATCTCTAAAATGGGATTGATAACTCCACCTCACAGGGTGTTGAGGGGACTGGATACAATTTATGTGTCTTATTGCCATCATTCATATGTTGACATGGGAAATAGTAAGAACAGTAGTATCTTCTTCAGATACACAAACAAATTCCTGGGGAAACACTTGGTCCCATAAACAAAGGAAAGGAGAGCAATTCTCCTCCTTTTTTTTCTTGAGGGTCAGTGACCAGGAGAAGAAAAATAGTGATCAGGGATTA